GGCGTAGAAATGACCGAAGTCGTCGAACAGACTGGCGCTGTTGCACAGTTCCTGAAAGGTCGGCGTCTTCGGCGAGGTCGCTTGATCGGCCTTGTCCATGGTGCTCTGGTGCTGTCGCACGGGGTTTGGGTCGACTGTGTCAAAACGGAAAAATCAGGCGTGCGCCAATCTCTGACAGCAAATCAGGGCCGTGTCCAGGCTGGTCCGGGTATTCCGCAGTTCAGCACGGCTAACATCCACCGAGGACGGGTAAGTCTGGTCGAACAAAAGAATGAAGGAAATTTTCGAGATGCTCCATGGGCTTTTAGATCTCCCAGTGCTTGTTGAGAGCACATCGAGACGTGTGAAGACAGCAGCACGTCTCTCCATCGACCATCGGACATAGAACAGATGCAACATAGAACAGTGCCCAGAGCTTTTGGACCTCACTTGAAACAGCACATTTTCCTGGCGGGCCGTCCGGGCAGTGCCATGAAGACCCAAGTTACGCCCATACCCTACCTGAACGAACATCGGCAATCTCCCCACCCACCAGCCCCCGCCCCCCCGCCACCTTCTCTCTCTCCGCCTTACCGGGCTTGCAGATACAACTGTGCATTGAAGCCCAAGAGCCAAAACCCTCGGTGCTGCCCGAGCCGGAGCTGCTCGAAAACGGAACGGACACGCGACCCGGATCGGGAGAAAAGTGGAGTTGAACGCATGACGCCCTCCCCGCTTCGGAAACGGCCCCGCAACTACCCCCACACCTTCGATATGCGAATTAATCGCCGCGTACCGTGGCGCGCACGGCGCACGAGAGCGCTGGCTCTTTGGGGCAAAGCTGACATGGATCGCTGCTCCAGAACTTGATGCAAGCGACCCTCCTTAGGCTTCAAACATGACGCCACGTCCGACCCACGAAAAGTCTTGAATCTAAGAGCTCGAACGAATTTTCACGACCCGCCTGGACGCTCACCGCCGCGAGCTTGACAAGCCCCCGTCCCAAAATTCCTCTAACATATCCCGAGACCCACCGGCAAGATCGCGCATCACCAGCCCCGTTTAGCGCTCCACCGTTGAGGACCTCCCCAGCGCTCGAGAAAGGGCGTGATTCCGAAACTCGGAAACAGCGATGGCCCGTATCCGAGCCGCTTTCGCGTTGCCACGTTTTCTGCATTGACAGCATCCTCATCGACTGTGCTAGTGGCTTCCGGCCCGGACACCGCCCCACAGAGGACAATACACCCCCAGAAGGCCCCAGCAGGCCCTCATCTGAACCGTACTGCTGTAATCTGTCGGCAGATCTATTTCCGAAACAGCGTTTGCGCGCGGTCTACACGCCAGCAAGGTCCCCGCGGCCGGGGATCGTCGGAAAGCTCCCTGCAGCCCCCGCGATCCTCGCTCCCTGCCCTCCTCAAGCGGGCGCTCGCTTTTTCAGCGACCAAGAGATCCCCACGCTCGGCTAAAGCCGTCCCTGCTCACCTGTAGGCTTGGCTTCCGAATCGGAGCGTGTGCGCCTGGTGCGAGGACTGGCTGCGGACCAGTGCCTTGCACAGGGGTTTTCAGTGAAGGGGGACAGCACATCACCATCGTAGCGCTGACGTTGGCGGTCACGTGTCGCCAGCTCAGTGTCTTATCCTGTACTGCGCCCCTTCACCCCTCCCTATCAAACGCAGGTAATTCCATCCTGACACCACGTTTCTGCTTCACACTTGACGGGGACCGTGCCAGTCGCGTGGCGGTCTGCCACGGGGGAAAATGCCTCCAGCGGGCCAGATGCGAATGGGCTTGAGTGGCTTGGAGAGATCTCCTTGGAGGCAGCAAAGGCGGATGCTGTTACAGCTGGAACTGATTGAGTGTTAATAACAATTGAATGCATGAAAAGATGATGAAGCATTAGGAATTGCATTAAGGATGTTGATGAACGAACTGCATATAAAAGACATAACGCTTGTCGTCTGTTTGCCTCGGCTGTAAACCGTTGCCGTGGACTCGAGCGTGCAATTCCCGTTCAGAGATCGCCACCCCTCGCCCCTGCCTGCCTTCGTCAATGCATCGCATCCATACAGAGATGCAGTGCATCAAAACGACTGATGAGGGGGCACAAGCCCCCGAGATGACGCACGGAATTGCAGCAGGGCCGCATCAAAGAGAAAGGCGGTCCAGAGTCGCCATGCACGTTTCGAAATTTCCACTTCGAGAACCCCTTGGCAAGCTCGGAATGCCTCTCGAACATCGCAACCCTAGCAGCAGCTCCCCGCGCCAGCCTCCATGAGAGTTTGTTCACTGCCATGGAGGCGCCCATTTCAGCCATGGCCATTGGCACACGGAAAATCACTGTGCTTGCGTGTCTTTGTCGGAAGTTTCACGGGGAGCTTAATGAGGCCCATCCGTAACACCTGCGGCAAGCCGTCCCAGGTGTCCTATAAATGAGTTGGGTATTTCCAGGAAGTACCCCTGGATCCTGTTCCCGACTAACTCTCGCACAGGCCAAGCTATGTAATTAACGATTAGTGCATGAGTTTTCGATGGATGACACGTTCCTGGGCGCGTCGGACGCGCCAGGCACTTGGGGCATCACCAGCAGCCGAATCTGTTTCTGGATGCCGCTCGGTTTGAAGTTTGGGCCCCCTGGTCCACAGACTCCATCTGAACACGGGCCAATGGATCAGTGGACTCTTGGCATGAGTTCTAAGGAGAGTTGAGGCTTGCATTTGGATGGGCGCCCTGGCGTCCTTTCCTCGGCGGGCTGCCTCCCTTTGTACCAATGGATCCATTGATGTGCTCCGGAGCACACCACTTTGGCGATAGCAGCTGCGACGTCATTCTGGCACTAGTTGATGCCATCACACTATGTTGATGACATTGCAGTGACTTTGATCGCGCCGCCTAGCGTCGAATGGCGAGGCAGTTCACAACTCCAGGATGTTTCTTTGAAACTTTGGTGGGGCGTCCAAAATCGCCAATCACTTTATTTATCCCGCGGCCGCCCATCCCTTGATGGATTGCGTTCATGCTGAGGATCAACCAAAGGACAGGTACTTGGTGCTTGTCAGTCTGGTAAGCCTCGCGAAGCTAAGGAGAAGCTGAGTGTAGTGCTTCACATTCAACACTCACCAATGTTCGGTACGGAACGTTGATGAGGAAGCTTTCAATGCACTTTCCCAGTGTGCATGTCGGGTGGGCAGAGGATCCCGTCGAGCAGATTTGCATATTTCCATCCCTGGTGTCCATCTTCATCACCATCACGTGATGGTAGGGTGTGCTTCTTTCAGCACTGCCCTTGATCGTCCAATCACTGCAAACTGTGGCTCGCAACTGGAACCCAATTACGAGCTCATAATATTTCATGCTTCGTTCACTTCAAAATGCGAACTCACACTCTGAGGGATGAGGGGGAGGGAGCAAAACAAGATAAGCGGCAGTCAGCCACCATCCAGCCCCCCCATGTGGGACCCAGCGCTCGCGTTGGGTTGTCCTTGAGCAGGGAACCACCGCCCAATCGTGGTTAGCATCCCTCGTTTCTATTCCTTTGGAACCAGGCCATGGCTCTCCTCAACGTGCATCTGAAGTGAACAGATTCCCTGGCACGCTTTCAAACGCAGTCATTGGGCACACAGGTCCAAAATTGCCCAGGGCTCGGCCGACAGACACAAAAGGGACAACCGCCACCCCACAGGATGCCAGCGCATCGAGAATGCAAATCACCGTCGAGAAAACATTGGCCTATGGCGGTAAATCGCCAATGGCCAATACGCGCAACTTTCGGGTACCAACGAACTGATATTGGCTTCTCGTGTCAAGCTAACACTGTCGACTGCTGAACTGTGAGCAAGCAATGTGCAATCAACGTCAAACAACGATTGCATATCGTTCCCCAAAAAAACTGCGAACTTCGTGGTACACAGAAGCAGCAAACTTTGCTGCAAAGTGCCAACAGTCCCCTCAATAGTCGTCTGTGTAGCGATCTGCACCGTCCGCGAGTCGCTATTGAACTACTCAAGCAGCTTGACTTGTCTCCGACCGGCTAGTTCATGACCATATCTGTGGTGCCGCCCGCTTGGAGCTCATCAATTCGTTGCAGCGGACAGTGCTCAAGTGAGCGTGGTTGTGAATGGTGGGCATCTTGGCTGATTGAACATTATCCGTTGCAAAATAACAGACACGAGATAATATCTTCGCAAGTTCACAGTCATTGTGAGGTATATTTTCTCTGGATGGGCCCTAAAATTGAAGGCAGTTTGCTTTGCATGGGAACAGAATCGTACTGAAGTTCGGGCCCCAGAGTCCTGTATGTAGCGGGCCTCCCGGCCCGAAGGTGGTGGGTGATTTAAGGCTTGGTGAGGTATTGCCGGCTATGATCCAGCATAAATCCCACAATATCTTTGCCGATGAAAGCCCAAAGCAACAGCTGCAAGCCCTTTGGCCCACACTCCGCGACCAGGCCCTGGTTCGCAGAAATGGTCCCACAGGCCCCGATGACTGCACGTGGGACACAAAAACGTCCTTGGCTGCGTGCACGCCTGTCATCCCCCACGAGCTGCAAGACCGCCACTTTGTCTCTATGAAGGCATTTCTCTTGAAGGATCACAGCAGAAACGGGCAGCAGCACAGGCTGTAGATTGTCGCCTGTTGGCCGCCATTGTGTAATTTGCTGCCTATGTGGCGCCAGTGTATAGTTTTTTGCGTTCTGTATGCCGTCTGTGGAGGGTCGTCCCGTGCGTATTCCTGGGGGCAGCCAATTCGGGATCCACGGCATCCAAATTGGCTGCCACAAGGAACTATGCACGAGACAGATGTGGAGGCCCCGTGCACAGGTTGCCGACTCTGTGTAGTTTGCCGGGCTGATTGGCCAACACTCTCCAACAGGCCAACAATCGTCCCCGTAGTCCGGCCCCCAGCCCCCGCCCCCAACCTACCCACCTACTACACCCGGAACCGCCTTCCGGGACGCGGAACCTCCAGCACAGCGCGTTCGCGGACACAAAGGCGCCAAGCTTCGCAACCCCCTCCCATCCCCCATGCTCCGCGCCTCTCGCGCCCTCCTCCGCCCGCAGCTGCTCAACGGACTCCCCCGCCGACCCATTCCTCGCAGCAGCCGATCAGTCTGCCACCGCTCCGCCGCCAGACATCTCGGGGCATCCCTCTCGGGCTTTCGCAGAGGCGGCGCTGTCAATCGCCCTGGCGACGGCGCATTGATCAGGGTAGGGTCCTCCAGAGGAATCTACGGGAGGGGCCTGAATCGAATCGTGGGAGCCATGGACGTGAGCCTTGAGCCCCCGCCGTTTCCCTCTGTGGCATGTGTGGACGAGGGCCCCACGGCGTGGACGGGGGACCTGCTTGGCGTGGCGGTGTTCGATGATGAGCTGGAGGCCAACGGGGAGAAGGGGAAGAAGATCAAGGCCGGCGGCGACCTGGCTGCCCTGGATGAGCATTTCGGCGGCGCGCTCTCCGACGTGGTCGCCACGTTTGATTTCGGCGGCAAGGCCGGCAGCTCCGCCTTCGTTCGCAGCGGGATGGCATCCGCCCCCGTGCGCGTGGGGCTGATCGGCATGGGCGCCAGGGACAAGGCCAAGATCACGCCGGAGTACGGCGCCAGCGTGTTCGCGTCCGTGGGCGCGGCCATGGCGGCAGGGGCGAAGGCCAACAAGTCCAAGGCGGCGGCGGTTGTGCTGCTTGGGGTGGGGGAGGACTTGGGGGCTGTTGCTGGGAGGCTGGCGTCGGGACTGTTCCTGGGGGCCTACGAGGTGACCCGGTTCAAGGCCAAGCCGGCGCTGTCGCCGCTGGAGTCGGTGGGGCTGATCGGATTCGGGGGCTGCGAGGGCGTGGGGGATGCGGTGGAGAGGGCGGCGATCGAGGCCCGCGGGGTGATGCTCACCAGGTGGGGGAATGGATGGATCCTGGGGCTGATGGTGTTTTTTTCTGTTCTTGGTCTGCTGGCTGTCGGCTACCTGATCGAGGCGTGGCGCCGGCTTCAGCAAGCACTGCGAGTAGATCTGCCCGCAGCTGATCTTCGCCGGAATCTGGCCATCTTTCATGCGCCAACGCTGTGCCTGAATGTTCGAAAGGAAGGAACTTACCTTGTGCGAGGTTCGCCAACCGCAGCGTGTGGTTGCCACTGGGTTCGTCTCTCTGGCCGAGTTGTTACAACAGGGTTGAAAGAATGTGTCCTGAACACAAGGTCCAAGCCATGAATCAAAGTTCGCGTCTCCTGGCGTGTTGATACAAAAGGGTGTATTCACACATCGCACACAGTTCGCACGGTGGGCGAGAGATCAGCAGGCTCAGAGTCGAACTGGAGGTTTCAGTGCTCTTGGATCCATGTGCATCTAAATGCATTGTGCTGTGATGGGTGAATCCTACAACGTATGGGAGATTCCCTTCCCCTGGATCCTGTCCTTGCGACCCTGTGTGTCATCTGTCTAGACCAACGCTTTCTTGTCTTGCCTTTTCTTCAAACAATTTGAACAATTGTATCCATGGCAGTAACATGGACACCGAACAGCGATCATGGTGTTTGTTTCGACTGCCGTCAAAAAATTCGACAGGATTTTTTCCTCTGGCAACATTGCAAGGATCTCACTCGCAATTCTTGAAATGAAAGACCACTCAAGCCCCCACATCACAAGCACAAACAACTGACACATGTCGTAAACGAGGTGGTGAAATTCTGCTGGGTGTTTTTAAAAATGTGTTTGCCATCACAGGGTAAAGCAGTGCACTTGCAACTTGAAGACGATGACGAAAACCGTTCGGGGGCATCGAGCCTGCAAGCATCCAATTACTGCTGTCAACAAAAGTTGTAATCTGTTTGGCACTTGGAAAACTGTAAACACTAAGCAGAGCTGAGGCTGAACTTATTGTTTTATTTAAGAGCGTGCAGTTTCACCACAGACCTTTCATAATTACTGTGGAGCCCACAATGTGCTTGCCAGTGTCGGATTCATGAGTTTGATGGAAAACGTCCTGTCAGTTGCATTGCAGTTCTATTGCTTGTTGCTGAGAGAGATTTCGCATTGACAGTAGCATTTAAGGAACCTGTATAGCCAAACGTGTTGGTGGAAATTTCCATGAAGTTAATAAGATTGCTAGGTATTGTGGGGTATTTTGGGTCGTATGATGCCTCCCCCCATCACACAGATTCCCCTAAACCCCAAACCTATGGCGCCAGGCCTGGTGCGATCGCGCATGTGGCATCATGCAACCCAAGATACTTGTGGGGTATATACGAAGTTGCTGTGGTCAGGCAGCTGTGAATGGTGTGTGCTCTTGGTGGTGTTTCCTTATGACTGTACTCCTGGCACTTTTGTGGGCAAACCAGGTGCGAACGCCAAAGTACTTTGCACCTATAAGTGGACACTGCACTTCCAAAATGCCCAGAGTGAGACAAAGCAGGGCTGCATGAATAGCATTCGTCTCAGAATAGCAGTGCTGTGAATGTGCTAATGTTCCAACCATTAAGCAGCACCAGCAGCGACACACGTGTCTGATAGGTTGGCGATGTGCTGTGCTTACTGTCCACTGGTGCCGCAGGTACCTGGTCGAGTCGCCTCCCAATGTGTGCACCCCTGCACACATGGCCGACGCCGCAAAGCTCATCGCTGACAAATTCCCAGATGTCCTCAGCCTGAAGGTGCGATTTGAGCAATCCACAGATCACACTTGTTAAAGAGATGCGACAAACAGCGTCCTTGTGCCTGGTGGGTGATGATGCCCTATTGCGACTATTAGCCAAAATCATGTACATAGATAGTGGTATGATTGGTCAATGACCAACTGCCATTGACTGAAGATGCACACCAGCCGGTCATCAATCAATGTCTGAGCATCAACGACCAGCAGAGCTTTCATCAGTGAGGTGAATTGTACGATGAAAAGCATTGGCCAATCAATGTTTGGTTAGAGTTTCCCACGCCATCTCGCGACTGCTGCAGATGCGACTCAACCGTTTACTTGACAACATGGCACATCAGGCCTTGGACACATTGCCGAGTCATCTCCACATTTGTTTGTGCCAGCAATGGCTCAAACTTTCAGCCAGTTGGTGGGTTCCCTTGTTTCAGGCCCCTTTGGGGTGTGAAGGGCCATTGCTCACAGGGTTTCCTTCTACCAAAGAGTCTGTGGGCACTGGGTTGGTTCAGCTCTTGCCATGTATGAACAAGTCGTTGCACAGTATCCCCCCACCCTTCAACCAACCCACAGGAAATGTAGGGCAAAATTGAACCCAACTATGGAACCCAACTGTACAAGGCATCATATGTGCATTTGTGGTACATATAGATTACAGCTACAGCAGTCTTTCAGATTTGAGAATGTAAATGATAACTGGTGTTGATCTTTTTGAAGCAAAATGCCTGTTGCTGGCTATGACTCCTAAGGAGCGAATAGAAGTAAATCTGCATATGCTGTGCATTGGTAAATCAATGTTCAACACTTAGTATTGATAGTATACTTAGTACATGTGGCAACAATGTGCACGTATATTCATGGAAGTAAAATTGATGCATTGCAGGTGCTCGAGCGTGAGGACTGCGAGAAGTTGAAGATGGGCTGCTACCTGGCTGTGGCTCGTGGCTCAATCAAGCCTCCCAAGTTCATCCACATGACCTACAAACCCAAGGATGCTACTGGCAACGAAAAGAAGATTGCCATCGTGGGCAAGGGCATCACCTTCGACTCGGGTGGCTACAACCTTAAGGCTGGGGCTGGGTCGCTGATCGAATCGATGAAACTGGACATGGGCGGTGCAGGTGCTTGTATAACTATAGCATTAGATCGTAATTGCAACATCACTATGCATTAGACAGATTGGACAGATTGGATTAGACAGAAAGTGACAAAAGCAGACCCCTACAAGGCGATGTTGGGTCCTGGTGTTGTAATGATATGCTTTGCCAGTAGTGACAGTGACATTGTGTGTGTTCATGTGTGCCCATGTAAATGCAGTTTCCGCTGCGCTTTGATTTTCATGAGCTCAAAAGTGTCGCAGTCCCTCACACTTCCATTTGCCACTTGCCATCTGTTGCCACTTGTCAGGAATGTCAGGGTGAGCATTCGTCATGGATTGTACAGTTCAGGGTGCATTCAACATTTGACAGGCACCCTGGATGATGGAGACAGCGCTAGGAGCGCTTACTGTAGTTGTAAACTGAGCGATCATTCAGGCGATGAATTGGCCTATTGCTTTGTTGGCTGCTGCAGGTTGCCACGTAGTCAAGAGAGCCCTCATTCCGTGCATAAAAGGATGTTGAAGTTCGAAATTTCATTGAATCCGTTGGTCAACTGGCAGGTCGATAGACAGCAAGACTGCTGAGATCGACGTCTTCCTTTAATTCATTGAAAGATTGCCTGGCTGCATTGTTGGTAGACAGATCAATCCATGCATGGTCTCCGCAGGTGCGGTGCTGGGAGCTGCGATGATCGTGGGTGCCCTCGCCCCTGCCGGTGTTGAGGCCCATTTCATTGGCGCTTGCTGTGAGAACATGATATCACAAGATGCCTACCGCCCGGGCGATGTGATCACTGCTTCCAATGGCAAGACGGTCGAGATTCTGAACACCGATGCAGAGGGCCGCCTTGCGCTTTGCGATGGGTTGGTGTATGCACAGGTACTCCTGGTGAAGATTGACACCAAAATCACTGTCCATATTACAGCGCAATATTCCACCCTCCTGCATAGTAATGTAACACTTGGCTTTTTTGGTGTTGCAGAGCAACGCAAAAAAATGTAAATAACTTTCAGAAAAAAATCCGGAGCAAAAAGCATAATGGCAAACATTTTTGGATACAAAAGAGTTCATTTTTCTTTTCGATTGGAAAGTATTATATCACCTTTCAGCGTCCAGGTGCCTCCCCCGTCCTATCACAAGATATGTCGGGCTTGTGCTACCAAGCAACAGCATGCGAGGCGATGCAAACCCCCAAATAGTTTAAACCCAAAGAATGCTCAGTCTCAGGAAAGAAAAGAGAGAAGTTCGACACTGCGGGGAATCCTGGCAGACCAGCAACCAGAGAAATCGAGTTGTCTCTTTGGTTGTTCTAATGAACTGAGATGAGAAGATGCGGAAGGGTTGAATATACTACGTACATGGCTTGGTCCCCTGTGAACTTGCTTTGCACCATTAATGTGGAGTTTTAGTGCAGCTTAAACAAAGCTGGAAACTGCATGGAATGCGCAAGTGTCTTCCAGTGTACGGTGACCGCATGCTGGCAAAGCCACCATTTGTACGTGTGTGCCCAAACATTCTGTTTGTAACCACTGCTGTGCATTCAAGTTGATGATAATGTTTTTCCAAAACCAGAATACATATTTTGGCATTTGTGTGTTTGGCAAAACGGGTGGTATGGTGAAGGAATGACTGATTGAGGAACGAAAAATGTCTTGGGATTGGTACATTCCTGTTGTTGCATGCCAGGGTTCGCCTAATGGAGCCCAGTGTCTTGCAAACATGATATGCCAGCCAAGAATTGCGACTCCATTCCACCCAACACAGTTTACTGATAGATTGCTAGGTAATGCTCCCCTTGTCTTGCTTCCTTTGCAGACATACAACTGATACATTGCATATACTATCGACACTGGTACAATTAAAACTGTACATTTTTGTTGCACAATTTCAGCAGTTTAACTCATTTGGAAGATAAACTGAGACTTGGCAACAGCCCTAAATTGCCAATGCAATTGCCATGGAGGCAAAGGGGTGGTGCTTGTCAGGTTCCCCAGATGTGATAGAGTCGAATTCCTCTCCTTCTGTGCACTCAGGAACAATGTGGCGTAGAGGCAGTGGTTGACACCGCTACACTTACTGGGGCATGCATCATTGCCTTGGGTGGTAATGTTGGTGGTCTTTTCACACCCAGTGACAGCATGGCCGCGCAGATCAAGGCTGCCTCCCAGACAGGGGGAGAGAAGGTAGGAAGGGACGTACGGTAAAGAATTGTATGTTCTGACCGCTCTCAGTGGTTGTGTGGGAACCGCCACAGCGATTACTTCCAAGGTAGCTCATGGCTATTCAAAGGACACAAACCCAGATGTTTCTCATGCCATCAACAGGTGCCAGAACGCCTGCCTTGCAGCACTCAAAGATTTTATGAAACGCAAAATCAAACGTCCGATCGCTGGTGTCAGTACTGACCTTGACACATGGCGTTATGTGTTGCTGAGCATGGCTTTCAATCGAGGTCAATGACCAGCAGATTTCATTGGCACGCTGAATTTTGCCACGATTTGTCTAAGGCAGCCATGTAGCCCATTCAAAGATAAGTGCTTTTCCCAAGCATGTCAGGGCTGTAGAAAACTGCGCAAAATAGCCAGACAATGGCTGGCCCGCCAGCCAGCACAGTGGTTGTGAAGGGTTGTACCAAGACAGTGCCCAGCGCCATTGCCAGCACTCTTAAGCAGACCATTTGGGGTGCGTTCTCCCCTTTTCTGGGAATGCTGGCTTCCATTGAACACATACACATGGTTGTATTGCCTTCCTTGGCAAGTGCGAATCTTTTGGGGGCAGAAAATTTACAACTCATACCTTGAGTTTGTCATTTTCCACATTGTCTGTTTCTTGTAATGCCTGTTTACATGTCTCACGCTCTTTAGATATGGAGGATGCCTTTGGAGGAAGAGTACTTCGAGAGCCTGAAGTCGCCCATCGCCGACGTCAAGAACGTGGGCAGCCGCTGGGGCGGCGCCATCATCGCCGCCCTTTTCCTCAAGGAGTTCATCAAGACGGACACCGTGAAGTGGGCGCACCTGGACATCGCTGGGCCGGCCTTCCAGCTGGACAAGGGGCAGGCCACGGGCTTTTGCGCAAGGACGCTTGCGCACTGGGTGGCACAGTATGGGAGCGGGTAGGCGGCTCCAAGGCAGCACTAGCATCCCATGGTGTCAGTCACTGGGGCTGAGTGGTGACATGGGTGGGGTACATCTTGTATATGTGTGTAAGAAGAGTGTTTTTTTCCCTTTCTGATCCTTTTGTTCGCTTTCATCGACGTTGACATATTGTGTCCCAGCACGGTGAGGCAGTGGAGGAGGGAATCGGGCAGCTTGCGGGGCGCGGATTGGCGGTGAGTGGACAGGGTGGACGACTGCGGCGGGTGGGGTGGCAGGTGATGGTGCAAGCATTTGTCTTGGTGCGTGTTTTCTTAGATTGCAGTCAGGTGTGCGTGGCTGAATCGATTCCAAGCGCTGTCAGGGGCGCGGAGCAGCTGCTGTTGCTGTCGGTGGCGTTGAGGGGATGTGTGTCGAGACGTGTGAGGGGCTGACGTCGGGGAGGTCGATGATGTGGCGGTCGGGCAGTGGTGGATTGCTTCATGTAAGTTTTTCTTGGTCATGGATTGGAGGGCAGTTGGCAGATGTTTTGGGACGGGTACCAATTTGCCTACTCCAGCCTTTTGTGCGTTGAGCGATCGGAGCGGTGGAAGGAGCCAATGAGGAGTTTATGAATGTGGGATGCCGATGTTGGCAATCACAAGACAGTGGCCTTGTATGGTCATGGTCCAAGTCACTGATAGCGCAGTGCTTAACAATTGTGCTGCTGCACCTGTTGCTTAGGATGAGTTGTTGCGCTGGACCAAGTGGCCCACATGCCTGCAGGTGTGTCGGATGCAGCGACTGGAAGTGGGGCACGATGTACTAACGGGGACAACAGCGTGTGGTACATGGTGCTAGCCACACATACGGCTGGAGTTGGCTATTCCGTTTTTTGCTTACCTTACAATTTTGCTTACCTTACGATTAGCTCCATCTTGCAAGTTGTGATGATTGTACTCGCTTGCCCACCTGCGACCATTGTATATTAATGTACTCTAGCCATCACTAAATCGCGATTTTGTGTTTTGGAGAATTCTGTCTCCACCCGAGCGATTCAATTGGCAGTCCGGCAGCCACTCGGAGGCGACTCGAAGGGCTGGGCGATGCCAGTGTACTTGCATTTGCACGTACGAATGATTTATTCAACGAGGCCTGTATGCAGACATCACTAGCAACACTGTGCACAGTGCACGCTTTCGACCTATTGGCCGGAACCCACAGCGGTTCCTGCCACAACCACACAAACCCCAAACCGCAGTTTCGTAGTACATATTGGTGATGATTGACAACTGTCGACCACGCTTCAGGAATTGGTGTGAACTCTGTCCCTGGGCATGGTACAGTACATACGATGTCGTGCTACATCGGCAAGTTACTGAGCCACGACGCCGGTGACACGCCCCCATTCAATCCTTGACAGGACAGCAGACTACCCCTGCCACCAACGAGTCGTCGATGCTCTTCTGTGCAAGGCCGGGCTCACGCTCTCCCAATAGAATGCCGCACAACAGTGACACCGCCTGGGGTGATGCAATCGCACCAGAAATGCAACTGCCTGTTAGGGCAGTTCTCCCCTGCCTGCCCACAGTCAGACTGCAATCTGTGCAGTAGCCCACTGCCCCAGCACTCCCCAGGGGAACAACCAAGCATTTGCCAACATTTCCGTGGGACATTTCTGCACTAGCGCCACATGGCCTTGGAATCTTGGTGCGCTTTCTAACATATGTACGATGTGCTTGGGCTCACGTGGGACATGGGGCATGAGGGTTGGGATTGATTTTTGTTTGCTACATACACTGAACATAATCCACGGGGATTTCATTACTTGTGCCAGCTCATTGCATTCATGGGGCAATAAGGAGTGGCGATATGGAACCATGAGTCATCGATTCCAAACACTTTATCTACTTGGTTTTCACGCCCATCATCGCCTACCGGGTGCACGGGTTGTGTTTTGTCATTTTGTGACAAATGTAGTCCATGGATTTGGATGATGATGACCAAGCATTTCATGCAGGGTCAATCGGTGATGTGCGCAAATGCGGTGGTCAATAGGCAGACTGGAGGATCGCCAATCTCTCACAGAGACCCTTCAAAACAGTTCCCAATTCCTACACGAGAAACCCGCCAAGAACCCATCTTCATAAGGCATCACTGCAAGCCACCTAGGCCAAGCCTCAAGCGCAGATGTAATGGCGCAGCACCACTTTTGTCAGCCCTGTGGAGGCCATGTGCAATTCCGATCCGACGATTAGCAAACGATGAACGATTTAAGTCAACGGACCCACGCTGTGCCCATGCATCAACACTGGTTTGTCATCGCATGTGAAGAGACTTTGTCGAATTTGGTGCGCTTAGGAAAGCCGGTGTGTCCAATTCTGCAAGCGCCAAGCTCATTAACAATCAGTGGTGACTTGTTGGGACCTCCCATAGTCCTAGTCGCTAAGGCACCCTGCGTTGACCGCTGCACAGCCCTGCCATCCGAAGACAGGTGTGTGCTAATATCCAGGTCGCGCCTAAAGTTAGCGTCAGAGAGACATATGCCCTGGGCGCTGTCTGAGAATCTTGGCATCACGCAGCTCTTCCTGCATGCAGGGTTGAACGGTAGCAATTGCGCACAAACACTGAAAAAATGGTGCTTGTGATCAGTTGCGGGTATCTCCTGTTTTCTTGAAGGGGTAAGCCTTTCCAGCTCAGCTGGGACAACAATGAAGGAAAACTCCAGATCTTTGTCGATGTCTCTGAGCTTCTTTGGATCAAAGAAGATTTTCTTCAGCTTTGGTTTCTTTGCCCATTTCTCCACTGCCTCCCGGGCCTCAGGTAACTTCCCCTCGACTGCCACCACCCTGTCCACATCTCGCTCGACTTTTTTCTCTGGCTTCGCCTGCTTGGTTGACGTGATTCAGATGCTGAAACTCCCTCAGAATTTTGGCAATGCGGTCTACTCGGTCATGGATGCCTTCCGCCCTCTCATGACCGAACCTCGCGGCGCCATCTTTAATGATTGGCAGTGTCCGCGCTATCGCGTTCTCGCACAGGTTGGCAAACACACCGACGGCGACAACGACGTCAGCAGCTTCCATGTGCCTCAACCGCAGAGAGTATCCTCAACTTCCGTAGAAAATCTGATGTTCTGCAGAAAAGATGGACACAAAATCGCCTACCAGTGACCTCACTATTCATTGCTCGACGTGTCCTCAACACTCTAGGGACGTGCGCGGGGTGCCTGATAAGCATGACCGTGTCTCGAGTCCGAGGAGTGGAGCCCAATGTAATTCACAGGAGAGGAGGAGGAGAAGGGCGTGCAAAGCTGGCGCGTTGAGCAGTGGCGGCGAGCTCTGGGAGGTGCATCGCAAGAACGAGTGAGAATTCCAGAAACAGAAGGGCGGCCGGCCGGCGGAGTATTTCCAAACCCCGCAGATGTCCAGCGGTGACTTTTCTCAATGCAATTTTAGGTACTCCATCAGGTGCTTCATCCGGCAGTTTATCCGTTACTCCATCAGAAGCTCCATTTTGATAGATTGAACGTATCTTGGGCTGCTTGTTGCAACTCTGATGTAAGACAGGGTCCACAGAGCTTATGAACTGATCACACTAGTAAAATATTCCCTATTTTGCATAGTTTCTAACCCCGCCCAAACTGTGGCAAAGCGAGACCACATTGTGTAATGCCATCCGACGGTTAGCACCAAAAACCGGTGCGTTCTTGTTTTCATCTATTACCAGTGTCAGGCGACCATCATCACATCACTTGAACAATCTGTAGTCAACCCAGAGAATGTGTCCACACATCTCACCCGATGTCATTGGCAACCAGGGCTCACCCTTGCTGCAGCTTGCGGGCTGCAAAATATCCGCCCCCGTCTTTTCACCACCATCACACCACCACCGTCAAACCGACGCCAAGTGCATTGAGGTGACGCTTCACCTCTGTTTAGAAATTTCGCTTGTTGCTTACTTTGCACAGAAGGAGGTCATAACCAATGCAAGTCATAAAATTTGACCCCAAAAAATTATGAAGCGCCGGATCGAGAGCTACTTGTAGAGAACCCAAAAGTGGCAATGGTGCCACCATTCTCTGCCGATGTCAAGAGGAGCTGAAACGAGGTGCTGCCCTTCCCGTGCCCTGTCAGGGGCGGATGACCAGCTCCTTTTCACTTTTGAGAGGTGTATTAACGGTTTCTGCACATCTGTGAAGGGCTAGACGTGGACGCAATACTGTGCCCGCATTGCCATTGACACAGTGCCAAACAGCGCCCCACCAAATGTCCATAACTCGATGTTGACGAGCTTTGATGCTTGTGCCGGCTTTGCGTCAACGCCGATGCACTGGCCTTGCTACTGTACTGTGCGGCGTTGCATCGATGACATTGTACACACCAGCACGATATTAGCTGGCACGAATTCTGACAGCGGACGGTGCAAGTTGAAGAGTGGCCAGTTCTGTACCACTGGAAACGCGTGCTGACTGCATCGAACGCATGGAAGCTAGGGTAGTACTTTATTAAGTCAATGCGCTGTTACGTACCATTCGCGAGCAGCCAGTGGTTGAGAAGACCACCCACAACAAAACTGCTTGATGTGGTAAACTAATGAAGGCATCTCGGTGCAATCTTAAGTAACTCACCAAGTACGCATAAAAACTGTGGCTAGTGCATTACGCATTACAAAAGCGTCTTTTCGACGATCAGGCGACATGCGCATGTAAATGCACATGTGCGATGAAATTCAGTCACAGAGACAGCTAGCAACGACATTTGAATGAAGAATGTATTAAATGTACATCATATCCAATAAATACAGTGACACCGGCGCGGCCGATGTGGTCTACCCTCGACCGCTATCCCTGCATACCAACAGCGCCTCTTCCGAAGAAACGAATGTACATCCTGGAAACTCCAACACAATATGCCATCGAGGCCAAACGTAAGTCCTTGCAAGACACCCTCAGGCAAATGTGCCCCAGCACGGTACTTCGGCAGAGCACTCTGTCAACGCAACCAGCCACAAAGCTGTCTGATGTTTTATTCTATATGGTACAG